CGGCCTTGCCCAGGGGATAGTGGCCCAATTTCGGGGAATCTGCTGATTTGGCGAGCCAGGACATGCCTTTCCAGCATCGCGCGCTGCACGAGCTTGCCAAGTCCCGACTCCGATGGCCAAGGGGTGCAGGGAAGGACAAATACCATGGCATCATGTGCACTGTCATCTCGACCATCTCTCCCTAGGTCTTCCTTATCTCTTGCCCCTCTCTGCTTTCGGATGCTGCCTCAAGTTGGATGCCCTGCGCTATAGTGGTGAAGTGATGGGTTGGCTGAGGCCCCCCCCCCGTCGGATCCACTATGCAAGCGTTCATTCTTGTCTGAATTGATCCGTCGAGTCGTCGTTCAGTGTGTCAGTTCTCTTTAACTTATGCACTGCATTTCGCGGCGTTTCCACCTCGAGGGCGATGGCGACGAAGTCGCTAAGCTTGAACTTGTGTGTAGTAGAGCATCGAGCCCCAGAAGGATGGGGAAGCCACGAGTTTTTGAAGTATCAATTTCGATTCTTGTGTTCTGAATTTGGAACGCTTCCAACGTTTTGCGTGTCCGTGTAGAGACCGTGAGCGCACCTGTGAAAAAGCAAGGATCCCGTCATATGCGTTCGGGCTGTGGCTTCTCCATCCATCTGCGCGGCGCTCAGGAGGCCCCTTGTCCGATCTTGGGCGATCTTTGGGGGCGCTTGGGCCGTCTCGGGCCGTGGGATGGCCGAAGGGAAGCAAATGCTAAACTCCTTTGAAACACCTATGGGAAGTCAATGATTCGGCCTCTTCGGGCCTTCCGAGGACCTCTTGGAGGCCTCTTGGGCCGTCTTGGGCCATCTTAGAGCCATCTTGGGCCGTCTTGGTGGGCTCCTGGCCTGTCGGAAGCCGTCGGAAGCCGTCTTGGGGGCCTCTCTCCTCTTGGGGTGCTCCAGGGCCGTCTTGGAGGCTTTCTCGGGCGTCTTAGAGGCCTCTTGGGCCGTCTTTGGGCCCTCTTGGGGCCGTCTTGGGGGCCTCTTGGGCAGTCCTGAGGCCATCCGGGAGGCCTCTTAGGGGCTCTGGGGGCGATCTTGGGGGGCTCTTGGGTCGTCTTGGGCCGTAGGAAGGCCGAGAAGGAGCAAATACGAAAATCTTCCAAACATGGAAAATCTATGATTTTAGCTTCTCCGGGCCCTCCTGGAGGACCTCTCGGAGGCCTCTTCGGCCGTCTTGCAGATCTCTTGGGCACCTCTTGGTTGGGCAATATTGGGCCGTCTTGGAGGCTTCTTGGGCGGACTCGGAAGTATCTTGGACCATCTTGGGCCGTCTTAGAGGCCATCTTGGCCATCTTCGAGGCATCTTGGAGGCCAGCTTGGGCCATTTTGGAGCCGTCTGGAGCAGGAAAAACCTTTGCAACCGGGTCTTCCAGGTCCTTCCGGTTGGCCAGCGGGCCGGGAAAAAAACAACAACACCCAAACCGCAAGGATTCAGCACGTCCGGCACCGTTGTGGCAAGCAAACAGCGGACGGCGGATACATCTCTCTCTATATATATATATATATATATGCATATATAGAGATATAGCTATAGATGTGTGTGTGTACATGTGTAGTGGCCTTTGGGCCATCCCGCCACCGTGTTGGCGTGGTGGACAAGGGGCCTCTCTTGGAAACCTCTTTGGGGATATTTCTGTTCAAGTCTCCGGGAGCCTCTCGGGGGCCCAGTGGGGCCCCCCTTGGCGATTGTTGGGGACCTGGTGGAGGCTCAGCTGCCTCCATGCGCCCGTTTGGAAACGACCGTGCTTGAAACGTCCGTGTCAATACGTTGCGTGTTGGGTCAGTGTATTGTCCCACGTCTTGGCGAACGTATCGCGTCATACCGACGCTTTCAGTCTACGTGTTGAGCGCCGTATCGATACGCTACGCATCGGGGCAGCTCATAATGGAGGTCTCTGGGCCTCTCTCGGGGCCGTCCTGGAGGCCTCTGTGACCCTCTGTATAGGGGCCTCTTGGGCCGTCTTTGACGCCCTCCGAGCAAAGAAGGCGAGTTCGCCAAAATCCTGCAACAGCATCTGGTGATTCCATGGTTTGGGCCTCCTGGGTCTGCCCCAGAGCCTCCGACACGGCCCAAGAGGCCCCAAGGGCCCTTGCGACCATTGAAAGCGAGGCAGGGATCTCCGAGTAGTGCCCAAGAGCGCCCGAGTAGCGCCCCAGCGCCGTAAGCGACAGGTGTCGACTCCGAACCACGCTTCGGAGGCATCTAAACAAGTCATGCGGGGATTCCCCGTCGCTCCCAGAAGCGCCCAGAGTGCGGAGGCTCGAGCCCCAGAAGAGGGCACTTGGAGTATGATTCAGTGGCTCCCGCCGCACCGCCGACCCCCGGGGAGCCCCGCAGACCTCCCCTCTGGGGAGCGCAATCGTAGAGGCGCCTTGACGCCGTGCGCACGGCTGGGAAGCCCAACGCCGTGCGCAAAAGGCTCCCTTTGGGTCGTCTCGGGGCCCCCCGCGCGCCTCTCGTGGGCCCTCGGAGGGGCCTCTCGGATGCCCCTTCGGGTTTTGTTTGGGGGCAGGTTTGGGGCCTCGGGGGCCATCTTGACGGGGATGTCTCCCCGGGTCCCTTCGAGGTCTCCCTCGTGGGCCCCTCCTGGGGCCCTCATGGGGTCTCGATGGCAGTCTCGGGGACAGTTGGGGCAATCTTGGGCCCCCTTGCGCCGTTTCGGGGCCCTCTTGGCGACCTTCTGGGCCGTCTTGGGGCCATCTTGGGGGCCTCAAGGGTTGTCTTAGAAATCCTGAAGATCGAAAAGTCGAGTACATCAAAAAGGTTGGAACACTTGCTGTGGGCGGTCCAGGATTGTTGTTGCCTCGTGGCCCGCTCTTGGAGGTTTTCCTGTGGCTCTCATGGGCCGTCTTGGGAGCCTCTGGGCTGTGTTAAGGCCATTTGAGGCCAGCTTGGACCCATCTTGGGCCGTCCCAGAAACTTTGTGGATAGCCATGAAGCTCGTTCGAGGGATGTTTGCGCGCCCTTGAGTTTTTGCAGGGCCAGATGTGTCCGCTGGGCCAGTTGCAGACGGGGACCCCCCCTTCCTCCGAAGCAGCCAGGCCGAGCTCTCGGGAGAGGGGCTTGGGAGGGGGAACCACCGCCCTCAGCAGAGTCAGACATGCGGGCTTCACAGCAGAACGGGGCGTCTGCCCAGCAGAGGAATTCCCCCAGCCGTCAGGTCATGCGGTCAAATCGGGTGTCCTGCAACGCACGCGCACGCACAGAAGCCGTTGCCTAGGCGGCGCGTCTGTAAATCGGCAGCGCGCACGCGTGAAGGAAGGGCATGGGCGGACCAGACCTGGAAGACGTTGTGGAGCCTCGGTGGCGAAACAACCCCAGACATGCGACGTCCTGTTCCGTTCAATACTGCGGGGGGGCCCCTGGAAGTCCCGACCCTTTCCCATGGGGACTGGTCTTCATCGCATCTTGAGTCGCTTTTCGACGGTCCCGAGGCCCGGCGAGGGCCCCCCGAGGCCGAACACCAGCAAAGACCTCCCGTCCTGATCTTTCAACGGCACGATTTACCAGTTTGAAACATATCCCTATCCCTATGTTTGACATCACCTCACCTCGATGCCGATCCTAAGGATTCCCTCAGTTTTTGAGGGCCTATCCCGAAGATTGTCCTCGCTTTTGGCTCGCCCATCTTAGGGATAGGGATACGTTCGAGGCTGGTTGACGATCATGTCTGGGGCACCGTCTTGCCCGCTGCTGCGCGATCGGTGGGCGGCGAGGCTCCGGACTCTGGCGGAGCCGCGGGCGGGGACTGCGCCTGGGAGGGCCCGCGGGGCACCGGAGTGCTCTCGGGCGCCCCAGGAGCGCCCGGTATAGCGCTCGGGAGAAGGAGCGTCGGGAGCCTCGAGACGGGTGTCAATGCAAACGGGGGTCAGCCAGAGCGCCCGATCGTGCAGGATCCTGCAGGGCCAGGGTCGCATTGACCCGGGTTTGGGTGCAGGATCCTGCAGGATCTTGCAGGATCCTTCGCATTGACCCGGGTTTGGGTGCAGGATCTTGCAGGATCGTGCAGGATCCTGCAAGGCCTGACTGACCCGGTTCTGGATTGACCCAGGTCAGAAGGTCCCCGAGAGCGCCTGGGCGCAACGGGCGCCCACAGAGGACCACACGGTGAGGTGGACGAGGGTGGGGGGGGAGGTCGACTAGGCGCAAGAGGGGCCTTTCGCCGGAGTGACCTTTTAGGTGCGGGTCTAGGTGGGTCCCCAAAGGGCCGAAAAGGAGGCAGGAGCAGCAGCTGCTTGCGCGCCCAGGCTTGGCCCCCCCCCGCGACCCCCCAAATAAGTCGCGCAGCAAAGGTCACTCTTACCAAGGGTCACTCCTGCGTGTACAGTCAAAGACCCTAATAAGGAAGCGCGACTTTACTCAGGGTGCCCTTGCGTCCTTGCTCTTCCTTGCTCTTGCGTCCTTGAGGTTTTCGTCGTCCGCCGCCCCAAAAATCCCAGCTTCGGCTTCCAAGGGTCTTGCGTCCTTACCGCGCGTCCTTCTCAGGGTTTTTGACTGTAGCCGAGGGGGGGGCTGTGGCGGGGCCCCAGACGTCGGGCGTCTCGGCAAGATCGAGGCGGAGGTTCACCTCGCAGTTCTAGGCCTCGCGGGGCCCTCGCCGGGCCCGCGGGGCCGTGGAAGAGCGAGACTCGGTAGGAGAAGCCGGTCCCGGGGAGGTGCTCGGGAGGTCGGGGGCCCGCGTCCCGGAAAAATCGGGGCGTCGGATGTGTGGGGAGGACCCAGAGAGCCGACGTCGTGATTTTTTCAAGACGCGGTTCCCCCGAAGGCTCGACCCATTGCCCAGGACCGGATTCTCATCCCGAGTCGTTCTTTGACGGTCCCAGGGCCCGGCGAGGGCCCACAAGAGGCCCAAAGTCGAGAAAACCTCTGTCCTGATTTTTTCAATGCGTTGGAGGTCTGGGGAGGAGGTCCTCACCTCGAGCGCCCGGAGCGCCCCTCCCCGCTTCCTTCGTCCTTCGCCCTCCCGAAGACACCCTTCCCGGCGGAGGACCTCAGCCCGGCGCACGTCGTCTGCTACGAGAACTACTGGCTGGAGGAGCCGGCCCACCTGCCCCCAGAGGCGCTGCGCGGCGAGGGGGCCCAGACCTCCAACGCACTGAAAAAATCAGGACGGAGGTTTTCCTCGATTTTCGGCCTCTAGGGGGCCCTCGCCGGGCCCCGGGACCGTCAAAGAACGACTCGGGATGAGAATCCGGTCCTGGGGATGTATGGGTCGAGACTTCGGGGGACCGCGTCTTGAAAAAATCACGACGTCGGATCTCTGGGAGGAGGGATGGTTCGGGTATATAGCCATGGCCCCAGGTTAGGGGACCCGGTTAAAGTGGTAGGGCCCCGGAGCTCTTAAATATTTAGCCAGAATCAGCAAACCAGGGTTGCCGTAGCTGGTGTTCTTCGGGTGACGGCAGTTCCGGTTGGTGGAGCGGGGCGGGGGGGGGCGTCCCCCAGTACTCCGGGGCGGCAAAGAGGGGGGTGATGACTAGGGGGGGGGGGGGATATCATGGCGTGGGCCACGATATTTCCCCAGATTGCATGGCGCCTCTTCTTATGCCATTACGTCCCTGGCCCCCCCGCTGGGCCGCGCACATGCCGCCGGTCATGATCTGCACCCCCCCCTCTTGGACACCCCCCCCATCGTGGCCGCTCCCGAAGTACTGCAGCACGAAGCCAGGCCCCACGAAGCCCGGTGCTGCCAACGCCCGGCTGGTGGCGCGGATAGGGCGGCTGACCTCCGTGCCGAGCAAGGCGGCGTTTTCGGCGCGGAGTGGGACTATACCACAGCAGAACGGTCACTCTTCAGTACTCGCGGTGTCCTCGGCACCGCTCACGATTTCCAGGCGGTCGCCTCCCAACGGGGCAGCTCCATCACGGAGAATGGCATTCGCTCTTGTGGGGGTCTGCGAGGAGAGGAGGGAACCTGGAGGGAGGGTCCACTGCAATCTCGTTGGTGGAAAAGTCAGACCGCCCGCTGGGAGACCCAGCTCGCCCAGAGGCCCGCTCGCCCGGAGGACCGCTCGCCCGGAGGACCCGAGGCCCGCTCGCCCGGAGGCCCCCTCGCCTGGAGGCCCGCGCCCCCGGGGCCCCGCGGGGCCCGAAGGCAGCGGCTTTCTACGACTCAGGAAGATAACTATCGGGTTGGGAGGATGGGGCTGGAGGAACTGAGGATGTCAGTAGCCGCAGGCGGTCGAAGGTATCGTGCATTGCATCCGCATGCTATTGCTCATGCCCATCATGTGCATTTTTCCTTTGGCTCGGACCATCGAGGAGCATCCTTGATCATTTGGCGAAAAAACCACGCACGTAACCGAAAAAAACACAGGGAATGGACGTCCGAGCGATGGCCAGAGATAACTATCGAGTTGGGAGGATGGGGCTGGAGGAACTGAGGATGTCAGTAGCCGCAGGCGGTCGAAGGTATCGTGCATTGCATCCGAATGCTATTGCTCATGCCCATCATGTGCATTTTTCCTTCGGCTCGGACCATCGAGGAGCATCCTTGATCATTTGGCGAAAAAACCACGCACGTAACCGAAAAAAACACAGGGAATGGACGTCCGAGCGATGGCCAGAGATAACTATCGAGTTGGGAGGATGGGGCTGGAGGAACTGAGGATGTCAGTAGCCGCAGGCGGTCGAAGGTATCGTGCATTGCATCCGAATGCTATTGCTCATGCCCATCATGTGCATTTTTCCTTCGGCTCGGACCATCGAGGAGCATCCTTGATCATTTGGCGAAAAAACCACGCACGTAACCGAAAAAAACACAGGGAATGGACGTCCGAGCGATGGCCAGAGATAACTATCGAGTTGGGAGGATGGGGCTGGAGGAACTGAGGATGTCAGTACCCGCAGGCGGTCGAAGGTATCGTGCATTGCGTCCGAATGCTATTGCTCATGCCCATCATGTGCATTTTTCCTTCGGCTCGGACCATCGAGGAGCATTGCTCATGCCCAGCATCCTCCCAGCCCCTACCTCCCTATACTGTATTTGTTCTCCACAACGACCTCCTCCTGCCTGCTCCGGGTCGTCCTCCGCCGCCCTCCCTCTCGACCCCCTTGCCCCCCGTTCGTCGTCCTCCTCCTCCTCCTGCTCCTCCTGCTCCTCCTTCTCCTCCTCCTCCTTCTCCCCCCCTCGTTCGTCTTCCTCCTCCTCCTATTCCTCCTCCTTCTCTTCATCCTCCTCCTTCCTCCCTCGTCCTCCTCTTTCTCCGCCCCGGCTCCTCCGCCGTCTTCACTCCCCGTCCTCTCTTCCTCGGCCCTCTCCTGCGAGCTCCTTCCCAGACCCCCGACGTCATGTTTTCTTCGCAACGTCGACCCCCAGAGGTCTGGACCGTTCGGGGACGGGCAATGACATAAACATAAAAACTCGGAGGTCCTCCCGGTTTTCTCCGATCGGCGCTGGACCCCCCTCGCTGGCGCGCGGAACGCGCCAGGGGCGGCGCCGGAGGCTCCGCCAGGGGGGTCCAGCGCCGATCCGAGAAATTTGCGCGGACCTCCGAGTTTCTATGTTTATGTCCTTGCTCGTTCCCCTGCAACCGCTTCCCCAGCACCGGTTTTTCGTCCTGAGTGGTTCCTCGACGGCCCCGAGGCTCGGCGAGGGCCCCCAGGGGCCGACAGCAGCGCAGCAGATCCTCCCGTCGCTGCCTTCAGCACAGCTCGAGGGGGCCCTGGGCCCCCGCCCTCTTCCGCGGCCCTCCTGCGGCCCCCCCTTTATCGCGCCCTCGTCCAGCACGCTCCTCGTCCGCTGGCCTCCGCTGGGGCCGTCGCCGCGCCCTGCGATCGCCGCGCGCCGCGCGCCCGGAGCGGAGCGGCTCCGCGGGCCGGGCCCGGGCGGGCGGGGCGTCGGAGCGCGGAGCACGATGGGAGTCGGCGGGCGTGGGCTCCCAAGGGGCGGGTCGGGGGCGGGCGGGGCACTCCGGTGTGGAGCACGGCCGAGGTGGCACGAGCGAGAGGCCGAGCTCTCTGCACGGACGGAAGTGGGCACGGAAGGAGGTGGGTGCCATGCCCAGCAGCGGATCCTGCCCCTTTGGGAGCAGGGCTCGCTGTCCGCGCCGCCGCGGCCCGGGTCCAGATTCGAGACAGGAGGCCGCCTGCCCAGCAGCGGCCGCGGTTGGTCTGGGGCAACATTGGTTGTTGGGTATCGTTGTGCCCATTCTTTCCGTACCCATCTCGGGCGCCCGAATCGGTGGGTCAAAGATGGGGTCCCGATGGATGGGGTCCTGCGGACGCGGTGCCTCCAACGGCGTAGATCCCAGCATGGACCCCTTCCTCTCCTCAAGGCCCCGTCCCTCAGGGCCCCATCTCTGAACCACCGATCCTCGTTCCCTCCTCGGGCGTCCAAAGTGGCACGCGGCGAGCCCTCACGGGCGGGTCGGCGGCGGGCGGGCGGGCCCGAGCGCGGGCGGGTGGGCTCGAGCTCTCGGGGGGGCGGACCCGGACGTGTACCGGGCGGGTTCGCGCGGGCGGGACTCTCGCGAGCGTGGGGCACGATCGAGTCGGCGCGCGAGTGCCCTGGCAGGTGGATTGGGTCGGGTGGGCGAGACATGAAGGTGCGGTACATTTGCAAGGGCTCCCACGAGGGCGCGAAGTTAGTCGCGCTTCGCGCTTCGCGGTCCTCGTTCCTTCTCCCCCTCCTCCTCTTCCTCCCTTTCTCCCCTTGGGGGGGCGGCGCGAGAGCGCGAAGTCATTTGCGCTTCGCGGAGCGCGAAGTGCGAAGTTGGGAGCCCTTGTTCAAGCGTGGAGCACGAGCGAGTCGGCACGCGAGTGCCCTCGCGGGCGGGTCGGGTCGGGCGGGCGAAACATGAATCAAGCAGTGGCGAAGCGTCCCGGCGTGCCTATAGCCCTACCAAACAATGGTCGAAGAACCTTTTGTGGTTTCTGTTCTGAGAACATTTTTTTTGTTCTAAGAACATTGTGGGGTTCTAAGAACATTTCGTGGTAGGACTATAGGGATGCCGGGACGGTCGGTCCCTGCTCAAATGAAGGTGCGGTACATATGCGAAAGCACCCGAAACCTAACGGGCGTGTCGGGTCGGGCTTGCGGACCCTGATGGGCAGGTCGGTTCGGGTCGGGCGGGCGGACCCTGATGGGCCGGTCGGATTGGGCGGGCGGGACATTCGTCTGTGGGGCACGATCGAACTGGCACGCGTGAGCCCTACTGATCGGGCCGGGTCGGGCGGGCGGGACATTAAAGTGTGGGTCGCGATCGAGCTGGCACGCGTGAGCCCCAACTGGCGGCTCGGGCCAGGCGGCCGCACATCTTCGAAAGCACGCTCGAACCTTGGGGGCGCGTCGCGTCGGGCGGGCGGACCTTAACGGGTAGGTCTGGTCGGGTCGGACGGGCGGACCCTTATACGGGCGGGCCAGGTCCGGCGGGCGGGGAATCAAGGCGCGGTGCATCTTCGAGTGAGCGCGCGAGAATCCTACATGGGCGAGTCCAGTCCAGCGGGTGGACCCACGGGTGGGTCGGGCCGCATTGGCTGGACAGTAAAGTGTGGTGCGCGACTGCCTTGACACGCGCGAGGCCTGACGGGCGGGGGTCGGGTCGGGCGGGCGGACCCTGACGGGTCAGGTCGGGTCGGGTCGGGCGGGCGGATCCTGATCGGCGGGTCGGGTCGAGCGGGACGTAAGAAAACAACTCGCACTCGAGAGCATGCTTGAACCCTAGTGGGCGGGTGGAGTCGGGCAGGCGAATTCTGACGGGCGGGGCGGGTCGCATCGGGCGGGCGGACCCTGACGGGCGGGTCGGGGCGGGCGGGCGCGGCATTGACGTGTGGAGCGCCTGCACCCTAGTATGCAGGTCGGGTCGGGCGGGCGGGCCCTGGCTGGCGGGCCAGGTCGGGCGGGCGGTGCGTGAAAATGTGGTGCATCTTCGAACGAGTACGCCCCAGACATGCGACGTCCTGATTATTTTTGAGCACGGGGTCCCTGGAAGTCCCGACCCTTTCTCCCTGGGGCCGGCTTTTCATCCTGAGCCGTTTACTGACGGTCCGGAGGCCCGGTGAGGGCCCCCCGAGGCCGAAAACTAGCAAAAGCCTCCCGTCCTGATTTGTTTTACGACAAGATCATGTCTGAGAGGCCGAATGTACGGAAAGACATCCCATCACGACTTTTTCATGACTCGAGGGGGGTCTGGGGAGTACACGCGCGAGCCTCGTGCGAGTGGTGCATATGCTCGAGGGCACGCGCGAGCCTTAAACCGGGCGGGCCAAGGGCTGGGCGGGTGGGCCTACCATAACAGGCGGGTCGGGCGGGCGGAGCATTCAAGCGTGGTGTGTGTTCGAGCCCGGACATGATCGCGTCGTGCAAAAAAAAGTCAGGACGGCAAGTCTTGCGCTAGTTTCGGCCCCTGGGGGCCCTCGCCAGCCCCGCAGCGTCAAAAGGGGCCTTAAAAAACGACTCGGGGTGAGAAACTTGCCCCGGGGAAATGGCCGGGACTTCCGGGGACGCCGCACTGCAAAAATCAAGACGTGGCATGTCTGGGAGTGCGCACGCGCGAACCCCAACAGATGGGTCGGGTCGGGCGGGCGGACTCTAAGGCTGCGTGTCGGGCCGGGCGGGCGGGACAGTGAAGTGTGAGGCACGACTGTTGCCGTGCGTGAACCTTCACGGGCGGGTCGGGTCCAGCGGGTGGACCATAACGGGTGGGTCGGGTCGGGTCGGGTCGGGGGGGCGGGACATGAAAGTTTGGAGCGTAATTATTCGAGTGAGCACGCTCGAGCCCTAACGGGCGGATCGGGTCGGGCGGCCTGGACATCTAATTGTGTAGGACGGTCGTGTGAACACTAACGGGCGGGTCGGTTCTGGCGGGCGGACCCTGACGGGCGGGCCAGGTCGGGTCGAGCGGAAGGACCCTAACGGGCGGGTCGGGCCGGGTGGGGGAAACATTAGAGCACGGTCGAGTTGGACGCGCGGGCCAGGTCAGGCCGGGGGAACACTCAAGGGCGCGGCGGGCTGGAGGGAAATAGGGGGAAGGAAGGAGAAGCGAGGAGGGAGGGGGGCAGCTGGCCCGCCGACCGTCAGGCCTGCCGGCGTGCAGGTCGAGAAAGCTTTTGCCGGAGCGGGTTTCTCTCAGAGCGGGCCTCTGCCGGAACTGGCCTCTGCTGCCGGATCGGACCTCTGCCGGAGCGGGCCTTTGCCCTCGCGGGCCTCTGCTGGAGCGGTCTCTGCCAGCCTTTGCCGGAGCGGGCCTGCTCCGTTGATGGGTCTTGGGTTTACACAGGTTCTCTTCCTCCACTTCCTCCTCCCCCTCCTCCTCCTCCTCCTCCTCCTCCTCCTCCTCCTCCTCCTCCTCCTCCTCCTTCTCGCCTCCCCCTGCGGACCTCATCTTCTCGATGCTTGTTTTTCTCTGACATCCTCTTTTCGTATCGTCGTGTTTCCCTTGTCTGCCCTTCTCTTGCTGGCCAGTGCCGCTGAGGCTCGCAGCCTCCTCCTCCTCCTCCCTCATTTCTCCCTGCATTTCTCTCCTATCTCCTCCTTCTCCTCCTCCTCTCCTCCTTATCTCTCCACCTCCTGCGGCTTGTTTAGCGCTTCTTCAATTTTCCACCTACCTCACTTCCTCATTCACCTCCTCCTCATCCATCTTCCGGCCTGTTCCTCTCTCTCTCCTTTCCCCCTCTCCTCTCCTCCTACTAAATCTCCTGCTACTCCTCTCTCCTCCTCCTCACTCATCCTCATCCCTTCATCCTCATCATCATCATCATCATCATCATTCATCTTCATCTTCATCCCTCCTCCTCCTCTCCTCCCTCCTCCTCCTCCTCTCCTACCTCCTCCTCCTCTCTCCTATCCTCACCCTCACATCCTCTCTCTCCCTTACTCTCCCCTCCTCCCTCCCTCCTCCTCCCTCCTCCACTCCCTCCTCCCTCCTCCTCCTCCCTCCCTCCTCTCCTCCTTCCTCCTTCCTCCTCCTCCTCATCTCCTCCTCTCCTATCCTCCTCCTCCTCCTCCTCCTCCTCCTCCTCCTCCTTCCCCCTCCCGCGGCAGGTGCAGCGCTTCTGCGAGCGGCGGCTGCCCTCCGCCGCCCCGCGGCCCCCGCCGCCGCGCGGTTCCCGCGGTGGCGGCGCGGGCGAGTGCTCGCCCCCCGAGGCGGGGCTGGTTGCCGGAGGAGGAGGAGGAGGAGAGGAGGAGGAGGACGGGGCGAGGAGGAGGAGAGGAGAGGGGAGGAGGAGGATGGAGAGGAGGAGGGGGGAGGAGGAGGAGGTGGAGTATATTATGAACGTCTTTGTTTATGAGGGGTGTGGCGAGGGATCGGCGGGCGACATGCGCCTAAAATTGTGGGTTTTGATAAAGGGGACGAGATAGTTTTTTAATTAATTTTGACGGGCGTGACAAATTTATCTTTGAACGGTTTTAGATAAATGTATTGGCACAGGGCGAGAAGAGGCAGGAGGAGGAGGAGGAGGAGGGGAGGAGGAGGAGGAGGCCGGAGGAGGCGGAGGAGGGGCGGTGTGGAGGAGTAGGAGGTGAGGAGGGAGCGTCGGGAAGGAAAGGGGTTGAGGGGGAGGAGGAGGAGGGGGGGGGGGGGAGAAGGAGGGAGGAGGAGGAGGAGGGGAGGAGGAGGAGAGGAGGAGGAGAGGAGGAGCAGTGAGGAGGAGGAGGAGGAGGAGGAGGGGGCGGACGAGGATTAGGGAAGGGCAACGAGCGGGGGGAGGGAGAAAGGAACGGCACGGGGAGGATGGGAAGGACGTCGTCGACGTCGTCGTCGACGTCGTCGTCGTCGACGTCGTCGTCGTCGTCGGCGTCGTCGTCGTCGTCGTCGTCGTCGTCGTCGTCGTCGAGTGCTCGCCTCTTGAGGCCAGGCTGGCTGCCGCCCGCGAGAGCCCGGGAGCCTTGAGACCCAGAACATCTCGGGTCATGACAAAATCCAGTCGGCAGGTTTTTCTATATTTTCGGGCTCCCGGGGCCCTTAGTGGGGGACTTCGGGACCGTCAAAAAATGATTCAGGATGAAAGAGAGGTCCCGGGGAAGGAGTCGAGACCTCTTTCGGGTCGACGTTATGAAACGATTATGCCGTCGGGGGTCTGGGGACGGGGGTTCATTCAAGGGGGAAGAACACCGATACCGCTACCCTTTGCCTGTTATTCTTTTTGTCGGCCTCTTGGGAGGCCCTCGTCGCCACCGCTGGATTCGCATCGAGAGTCTGGTCAGCACGCGCTCCGGGAGAGGTCCGGGCAGTAGCGGCACCGGCACCTTTTCTGGAGTCCCCACCAATGCAGACAGGGGGTCAGCCAGAGCGCCGCATCTTGATCCTGCAGGATCTTGCAGGGCCAGGGCTGCATGCTGCGTGGGCCCAGGCTGGCGCGCAGGGCCTCTGCAGGCCCCTGCGGGATCCTGCAGGGCCCGATTGACCTGGGCCTGCACTGGCCCGGCGCAGTGCGTCTCCGACTTCGACTGGGGGGGGGGGCTCCTCCAGGGCCGCGAGCGGCGAGCCCAGACCCCCTGGGGTCATGGGAGGAGGAGGAGGAGGAGGAGGAGGAGGAGGAGGAGGCAGGGAGGAGGAGGAGAGGAGGTAGGAGGAGGGAGGAGGAGGAGGAGAGATGGATGAGGAGGTGGGAGGCGGTGGTGGAGAGGAGGAGGAGGGGCACGGAGGAGGAGGAGGAGGAGGACCAGTGTGAAACCAAGAGTCATTAACGATGCTGGAGCATGGCGGGAGGTAGGTTTCGCTATCTCCGGCCTCTGGGGGCCATTGCTGGACCTCGGGGCCGCCAGAAGACGGCTCGGGACGAAACACCGGGCCCGGGGAGCAGGTCGAGGTCTCTGGGGGTCGACTTGACGTACAAATCAAATGGCGTCGGGGGTATGGGACTGGGTACGGAAACGAGGGGCACAAGGTCCACCAGCAGCTCTTGTGCATTCTGGGCAGGATTTGCCTTGGCGTCGCCGCGGCCGTTGTCCATTTGAGACCCATACTGCCTGCCCAACAGCGGCCGGTTTCGGTTTTGGACAACATTTGTTATCGGGTCGGGCATCGTGGTATGGATTCCAGAGCGCGGGCCCGCGGATGCTCAGTCGCACTGATACGGTCCGCGCAGGGCAGCCGCGAAAGAGCGCCCCGTGTCCGCGGGGTCGCGGCCCAGGGGCCTGGCCCGCGAGGCCTCGGAGCGCCTTCCACTCCCGAGGTGACGCTGACATGATGGCATGGACGAAGGCATGCGGATTAGCGACCATGCCCCGTTTCCATGCGACACTGGCGCGCGCTGTCGCCAAATGAGGCGGCACTGGCCTCACGTGCCAGGGGTAGGGTACCTTCCCCGATGCATGTTGGCGTGCGCCCGACCCTTTCGAGGGGGGGGGGCCCTGGCGCAGGGGCGCTCTCTCTGTTCCGGCAGGAGCGGGGGGGAAGAGGGAGGAGCGTAGGGTTAAGTCGGGCCTGTCCCTCTACAACGGGAATAATCAAAAATAGTCAAAAAATAGTATGGGGACTATTTGTGTAGTATTTGTTGGTCATCTTTTGGGTATTTTTGGGTATTTTTAATTTGTCGCCCAAAATCCCCCTGTAGGGGGACAGGCCCGACTTAAGCGTAGGGGGAGGGACAGGGGTCCCAACTTCGAAGTCGCAAATGTCAGGAGCAATGACTGGGGGGGGTAGGCTCAGGGGGGGGTACTCGAGGTGTTCCAGCGTTTCTGTCCGTCCTTCGACGGGTTTCCTGCTTCGGGATGCTCGTCAGTAGCCGCGCCTCGTCGAGAGCGCTCCAGGGGTGCCCGGATCGTCCCGACTGGCCGGCGCGGAACTGGGCCGTATGTGTCTCGAAAGCCAAGGGGCAACGTTGAGGGGGAGTACGCTCAGGAGGGGATGCATCGACCCCAAATCGCCAAAGCATCGCCGATAAGCCATCGAACACGAAACACCCCTGACCGTGATGGCACGATGAAGACGTGGCCTCCTGGAGGTCCCCCGTCTTCGCATCATGCATATATATATATATATATATATATATTCCCGGGCGGTTTCGTCTGCTACGCCCACAGACGAGGCCCCCAATCCCTGATGGTTTTGGCCCTCTGAGTCTAAATCCCCTCCCAAAGGGCTGGGTGCCCACTTTGGGCTCATCCACGGGGGGCCCGATGGGGCCCGCCCCTCCCAGGGGCGCGCGCGGACTCGCTGCTATCTGGGGCCCATCTCGCCGACATCTCGACGATGTGTACCGCTGAATTTCCATGCCGATGCTCCTCCCTCCCTCCCTGACAACGTTCCCCCTCCCCTCCCTCCTCTCTCCTCCTCCTCCTCCCTTCTCCTCCCTCTCCTCCTTTCCTCCTCTCCTCCTCTCCTCCTCCTCCCCCTCTCTCCTCCTCTCTCCTCCTCCTCCTCGTCCTCTCCTCCCTTCTCCTCCACCTCCTCCTCCTCCTACTACTACCCTACTACTACTACTACTCTCTACTACTACTACTACTACTACTACTACTACTACTACTTACTACTACTACTACCTACTATACTACTACTACTACTCCCTACCCCCTCCTCCTCCTCCTCCTCTCACCTTTCTCCTCCTCCTCCTCCTCCTCCTCGCTCTCCTCCTCCTCCTCCTCCTCCTCCTCCTCCTTCTTCTCCTCCTCCTCCTCCTGCTCCTCCTCCTCCTTTTCCTTCCTGGGGGCACCAGTCGAGACGAAGGCGGAAGATGTTGGAAGAGCTCGCTGGTTTCCGGATCTTTTCGAGACCCAGGATGGTTCCCGCCAGCTGCGCCCTGCTCGGGCGTCATGTGATAGGATGCCGGGCTCGTCCCGAACTGCCCAAGCCGGGGAACAGGTCGTGTCCCGACAGCAGTCGGGCAAGGGCTATAGCCGAGACGCAGGGCGGCCTTCCGAGATCTCTGCGTCAGGTTCGGGGCCTCCTGGAGGCAGCTGGCCGCCACGGCCGGACCCGCTGCGGACCTGGTCAGGTGAGGCCCAGCGGAGGGAATCAGGAGGAGGTTTGGGGCGCCTCCTCCTCCTCCTCCTCTTCCTCCTCCTCTTGCCTCCTCCTCCTCCTGCCTCCTCCTCCTCCTCCTCCTCCTCCTCTTGCCTCCTCCTCCTCCTGCCTCCTCCTCCTCCTCCTCCTCCTCCTCCTGCCTCCTCCTCCTGCGTCCTCCTCCTGCCTCCTCCTCCTCCTCGTCAAGCAGGAACCACTCGGGCACCGACCTGGAGCGGACTTTGGGATAGCCAGAGCTGGTTTTGGCAGCGTTCGGGCTTTGGGGCCACTGCCGGGCCCCGGAGACGTCAGAGAAGGCGGCTTGATGAGAAGAAGCAGACCCAGGGAAGACGTCGAGGCTCCTGGGAGTCTACGTCATGAGAAAATCACGACGTCGGAGTTCTGGGTCCGCGTGGAGGCCAGCCAAGCTGCTCATGGTCCGATCCGAGCCGACGCCCAAGCTGCCATTTCGACCTCGATCCGATCCCGTCCAGGGCACGAGCGCGGTCCCAAACGATCCGATCCCAGTCGTGCCGATTCGGGTGCCATCCGATTCGTTTCTGATCAGATCCGGTTTTGCGATCCGATCCGGCTCAGGCTTGGCAGGGCTTCGCGGGCGAAGACCGGTAGTTTTTTTTTATTGCGAACTCCCAAACGAGGTGGTGAGATACCAGGTGGCGACCTGGAATCCCCAAAAAGGTCACCGCTGGGTTTGGGGACGCGGGGTCACCACCGGGTTTTGTGACTCCTGGACCCACCAGTGTCCGGGACATCCTCGGAAAACCGCACGAGTCCCCAAACCGGGTGGTGACACCAAATCACCCGAGACTCACCGCCAGGTGTTGTCACCACCACGTTTGGGGACTACCAATTTTATTGTAGGTTGTGTTCTTGACCTTTTTGGGGTACTTTGACACTGAGGACCTGGCCCCTGATTTGGCGGCGCGCAGAAGGGGGTAGGGGAAGGGGTGAAGGCTTCTTAGAAGGAGGCTGCTTCTTAGAAGCCGCGGGCCAGACATCTGCAGACAAGTTAACGGGCGAAGAACGGTATAACATAAACTTTTTCGCTGTCGGGGCGCCTGTCCCTGGGCGGCTGGAAAGTTTATACCCTTACGGTGGCACCGTAGGGGTATAAACTTTCCAGCCGCCCAGGGACAGGCGCCCCCGACAGCGAAAAACAAAACAAATACCGCTCTTCGCCCGTTAAACAAGGCTCGCGCCTTCTAAGAAGCAGTCTCCTTCTAAGAAACCTTCCCCCCTCCCACTACCCCCCTGTGCGCGCCGCCAACTGTCAGAGCCCCGACTCATCAGGGGTAAATCGGGTCAGGGTTAACTCGGGTTCGTTTTTCGGGAATCCGAACCCGAGTTACCCCGGACCC